CAAGTTTAAGGCTAGCCTGGACTACATAGCAAGAACTTCTCTGAAAAATGAGCAAATTAAATTAAATAATCTAAGAATAATGGGCAGGGATTGAAAGCAGGTTAACGAACTCTTGTACTCCTCACCCACACTGACAGTAAACACAGCTGTGTATCTAGTACATGCGTCCCTCTTTTCCCTTTAGGAACTGGTCTGTCTGTCATTTGCCTCATTATTTTTATTGCCTTCATATTTTCCCTCAGTTCTGAATTATCCCAATTCTGGAGAACCATCCTTTTGTGTACTTCTACTCCAGCAAGTACTTTCCAGGGACTTTCAGGCTGTGTGCACAGGAGTGTGAGTTCCAGGACTGTTTGTCAGTAGTGAGTCCTTCAACAAATCTGTTGACTGTAATATAATCAAGGACAGATGAAATCAACCACTTAGGACGAAGGACATTTATCATTCGAGACAAAAGGCTTTATCATTTAGTGTACATATGTTTCCTACAAATAAGTTTCCCGTTGGGGAAAAATAGACAAGGAAGTCAGGCTATCTGACCCATGAACTAGACTCCTAAGGTCCTAGCAAATAGCAAGGATATTCCTGATAGTAGGTCTTTTTTTTTTTTTTCTCAAAAATCAAGCAAACATACAAATAAAAATGGCAGGGGCCTGGGGGCGTGGTTCAGTGGGTAGAGTTGCTTACTCAGCATGCATGAAGCTTGGTTTGATCTCCAGGAACACACAAACCAGGTCAAAGCAATCTCTGCACTCAGGTTGGAGGCAGAGGATTAGTGGGTTAAAGTTATACTTGGCTGCCTAGAGAGACTGAGGCTAGCCTGAGCTATGTGAGACCTGTCACCAAAAATAAATAAGTGGTAAATACAATAAAGGTAGTGTTGGAAAGAGGGCTTAGCCAGTAAAAGTGCTCTCTATACAGGCTTAGTGACCTGAGCTCGACCCCTGGACTCACAGTGGAAGGACAGAATCAACTCCCAAAAGTTGTCCTCTGACCAGCCCACATGTGCAGTGGTGCAGGAGCACCTATACTCACACACATACCAAAATAACAAATAGAATAATAAATGCTAAGGGCAGAGTTAGAATTGTATCCTGCATTTTACCTTTGACTTTAATTTTTAAATTAAAAAATTTAGATTTATTTTATGTATATGTTCCACCTGTATGTATGGATATGCCCTGGTGCTTGCAGAGGTCAGAAGAGAGCATTTGATACCCTAGAAGAGTTAGGGATGGCTGTGAGCCACCATGTGGGTGCTAGGAGCTGAGCCTGGGTCCTTTGCCAAGAGCTACAAGTGTTCTGAGCCATCTTTCTAGACTCTTGTCTTTAGTTTTTTTAGCATAAAATTGAAAAATATATCTAGAGCTGGGTGTGGTGGTGTATGCCTTTAGTCCCAACACTCAGGAGGCAGAGGCAGAGGCAGGTGGATCTCTGAGTTTGAGGTCAGTCTGGTCTACAGAGTGAATTACAGGATAGCCAGAGCTGTACAGAGAGAACCCCCCCCCCAAAATCTAAATTACAATTTTTTTAAATAAAAGCTGAAAAGTACCACAAATACCTTAGAACCCAACAAAACTTGAACCTTGAACTCCTGATCCTCCTGCCTCTTCCTCCAGAGTGGTGCCTTACTGGCAGGAGCCACCATGCTGGCAAAATCTCTTCTGTAAACTATCTTCAGTTACCCCACCATGTTTCCCATCTAGGTGCTGGGCACTCTGGGAAACCACCCTATTTAGTGACACATAGAACAGTAACTGGTTTCCTTGGCTCTTTCCTCTAACTGCGTGTTTGGAATCTCCTTAGACTTTGACAATTCTGTGTGCCTTCAGGAAGCCACTACTTCTCAAATGGGAACTCTTCATGAATGAAAGATACTTAGCAATGCCTGCCTCTTCTCTTAGTTACTGTCACAGAAAGGTTCCAGGCAGGGCCACATGGTTCACAAAGCTCCTGACCCCATCCCTAGGAACCTAGATGGGTGTGGATCCGGGCTAGGTATTTGATATTTGAGTGACAGAACTGCTACTCCCTCTGAAGCTTTGAAGGATAGGATCTATCAGTCAAGCTCACAATGCAGGTCCCTCCTTAATCATGATGATCTGGATGGTTTGTTGGCTTGGAGGCCTCTTATTCCTCATGCAAACACGACACCTGTGGCTTCTGTCAACTTCTTTGTTTTGACTTCTATGCCAACATTGTTAAGTTCCTCCTCCTCCTCCTCCTCCTCCTCCTCCTCCTCCACCTCTTCCTCCTTTTTGAGACAGGTTTTCTTTGTGCAGTCTTAGCTGTCCAGGAACTCGCTCTGTAGACCAGGCTGGCCTCAAACTCAGAGATCTTCTCTGCCTCCTGAGTGCTGGGATTAAAGGTGTGTCACCACTACCTGGCTGGCAGGGCTTCTTATATGGTGGCAGACATGCTTAGACACTTGCCTAGTTTTTACTTTCTCTTAACCAGGGTTCTTCTACTCCAGGTAGATTTGGGCCAGGTTTCAGAAGGGCCTCTAACACAATCAAGCAACTTTTAACCTAATGTTGTAAGTAAAGATTTAATGAATGCAGGCCAGGCGTGGTGGTGCATGACTTTAATATCTGTACTTGGGAGCAGAGGCCAGCCTATTTTACAGAGTGAGTTCCAGAACAAGCAGGGCTACATGGAGACACCCTGTCTTGAAACCCCTCAACCTTCAACAAATTAATGAATATGGTTAAATTGGAGCTGGGAAAATACTTGGTTCAAAAATTAAGAGAAGATGTGTATACTAGTGCATGCAAGTGATTACAGTCCTTGGGAGGATTGTTTCAAGTTCAAGGCCAGCCTGAAGGAGATAGTGAGTTCTAGGGCATTCTGAGTCATATAGGACCCATTACAACAAGCAAGGAGATAATCCGGGTCAAAGCTGTACCCCAAGAGCCTGGCTCACAGCAGATGATAAGTAAGTGTTGAAATTGTTGAATGAACTTAGCCCAACAAATACATTAAGAGAAAGAAGCCCCAAGGGACCAAGGGATTTACTGACTTGCTTGAGGGTTCACAGCTTACTGCTTGGCTTCTTTCTGCCCTCCACACAACATCTTTGAACATAGGATTAAACCTGGGGCCTTTCCTTGACAATAGTAACTGTGCTTGAAGTCCACAATCACTAGTGGAAGCTGGAAAGAATTTTAGCATCATTTATAGAAGGGAATGGGGAAAAGACTGTGGGGCTGTGACCTTGCTAAAGAAGGGAAACTGAGGCAACCTTCATCCCCTTCTGAGTCAGGGTCTCTTTCCTCATCCTCCTAAGTGCTGGGATTTCTGGTATGCACTGTCAAGCCTGCCTTTGATAAACAGAGCACAGTTGGAGGTAGGAAAGGCAGAGAGAAATGGCATTCACTTAGACAGCCTTTGACTTCAAAGCTTCCAAGGTGGGCAGGTCTGGGGAGTTGATTAGCCAGAACCCCACAGATCACCTTTTCCTTTTCTAGATTCCAACATAGGGATAAGAATTGAAGATGGGGCTTCACCATCCAGTCTAGACTGAAAGTAACCTGAATCTTTTTCTCTGTTTGGTCCCTTCTTTACATCATGTCCCTCCCCACTGGCCTGAGCACTGGTGAGCACACACACACACACACACACACACACACACACACACAGAGCATGCTCCTCCCCCACAGAGTATGCCCCTCCCCACTGGTCTGTGGGCACTGGCACATAAAGACACACCACTCCTACACACACACACATACACATACACACACACACACATCACTCCTTTTCCTCTCTCTCTCTCTCCCTCTCTCTCTCTCTCTCTCTCTCTCTCTCACACACACACACACACACACACACACCTGTAACACAAACGTCCCAGGAAAGGATTTAGTTAAAATCAGCTGCCCTTTGTTCCCCTGGGTCAGGCCATACTGTGTCTGTCAGAATGTGACTCTTGGTTTGTTTGGAAAGTAAGGCCCCCTTGAGGCCCCAAATGCAGACTCTGCCTTCACAGTGCCAGGCCACTTCGGGCTACCAGACTGCATAAAGTGTTCTTTGTAGGGAGGATGCTTCCTGGGCAGCCAGGGTTTTGAAGGTGTCCCCAGCCTAGGGCTTGTCTTGGACCACTGAAGCCAACCAGCTGGCTGTGGATAAGGGTGGAAGGTGACCCTACCTCCCACTGGCTCCTAGTGATCTGACTCACCCTTGTTGAAAAGGGGCTCTCACAAACAACTCAAACCTGAAAACTGTGACAGCTAACTCCCCTGCCCCTCCAGTCCTGGGGGCTTCCGCAGGGTCTGGGCTGCAGGCCAGTTCCAGACGGTCCCCAGACTTGAGTGGGGGGTGGGAGTCAGAGCTCTCACCCTTTACTTCCTGCTTGGTCTCCAGCCCAGAGTTTCTAGAGGCCCGAGCCTCTGCGGGCTCTCCACCCCACTGTCCTTTAACCCTTTGCTGCCACGGAAGAAAGTGGGTCAGACCCGGGCTCTGAAGGGAGGTGCAGACCACCAAGGAGTGGAGTGGTGTGTGTGTGTATGTGTGTGTGTGTGTGTGTGTGTGTGTGTGTGTGTGTAATGGTGTGTGTATGTGTGTGTGTGTGTGTGTGTGTGTGTAGAACCCTGATTGAAATCTCAAAACAGTGTCTCAGAGCCCAACTCTTTTTCCTCTCCCTTCCTTCCAGGAAAGGGGAATTGGAAGGAAATTAGCTTTGACCCCTGGACACAAAACTTGGGTGGAAGGCAGTTGCTTCCACGACCCTGCCCGGCCTTCTCTCTCCTCTCCTTCCCTCCTTGGTCTCCAGCGCCCCTTTAAGCAATCCAGCAGCCCAGGCAAGTTTATCCAGGGGGCCTGGCTGTGAGGTCGAGGGGGAAGGCGGGGTGGCGGGGAGG